AGAAATCACAATGTCGCTGTTTGGAGTTATTAAAACAAGACACACAATGACTTTTTGATCTCAATATAAAGAGGAAACAGCAAGGATTGACAGACAAAAAAAGCACTCAAGCAAACAAGTGGTTTACCAAATGTAATCGATCCTTCTGTGACAAGTTAACAGAGCATGTGAATGACAGAATGAGGAAGATTATGGAACAAACCTTGGCACAGGCTTCTGAAGGTTGAGTTTGGTGTAAGTAATGTTCCACTTCCCTGGTTGGTGGCTGTCCAAGAAGCGCTTTGCACTCAACACGGTGTTCTAGAAACAAAGAAACAGTCATTCTTTTAAAATCCAGGTTACATGTGACTACAGAACTAAATAAGAAATACATTGAAATGTCCTTTACTTGCTTTGTTGAAACTAAATAAGTCATGATAGAAATGATAACAACAAAATGTCCTTTAATGCCACCACGAGATGGAGCTTACCGCCATCAGCATGGCCACAGTCATGGGTCCCACCCCCCCCGGCACAGGGGTGATGAAGCCGGCCTGCTCCTTGGCTGAGGCGTAGTGGACATCACCCACCACCCGCTTACCGCTGGCTTTAGTCTCATCTGAAAACACAGAGGGAAACTTTATAAGTAAATGCAATCACTTGATTCAGGGATTAAACTCCAGAGTCCAATGCTTTAAAGCAGAATGAAACTTGGAGTGGAACCTGGGACATGGTTGATGCCACAGTCGATGACCACTGCTCCCTTCTTGATCCACTCTCCTTTCACCATCTCTGCTTTCCCGATGCCCACAACCAAGATGTCTGCTCTGCCCACCTGGACAAGGAAAACAGAGATTTACATAAGAGAGTCTTCAATAAATAAAAGAGTGGCATTGATACAGATCAAACTAAGCCTGGTGGGAATTACATTTATGAGAGTTTATAGAAATAAAACAATTGAAGACTAGCAAAACATGCAGTATTGTTTTACACCACACGATGGCAGCATAGGTCGGTTACTCCCAGCATGTCATGACGAATGTATTGTTTATGAAGTTTCAACAACAACGATGATCAGTTGCATTATATGCTCTATTGCTAATGACTTTATTCCTGTGTTGGATGGAGGCGTGTCTACCTCTCCAGGGAGATCAGTGGTTTTAGAATGGCAGGTGGTGACGGTGGCGTGGTTCCACAGCAGCAGGTCGTGCATCGGTGCGCCCACAATCTTGCTGCGACCAACCACTACGGCTTTCTTCCCTGCCACAGACACACCTGTAGAGAGGAGATGGATAAATTACTTCAGGACTTATTCGATTATTCGTCGTATATTTTCACGGCCCAGATTATTTGTATTGTTTGAAAAGGGGTGCATGAAGTTGTGTTTACCGGTTTGTCTGATCAACTCCATGCAGCCGTTTGGTGTGCAGGGGATGAAGCAGTCGCCCAAGTCCCCGCGTGAAAGCTTCCCCGCATTGATGCTGGTCAGCCTGAGAATGGATCAGAAGACATTGAACATTGCAAATTAAAGCTCTCTGATTTTAGTTGTTTCAACTAAACTCAATGGAAGCAAATAAGCACCAATAAGCAAACCCTAAAATAAAAGCCTGATCTTTAGTTAAGTATGTGCCTACCCGTCTACGTCCTTCTCTGGGGCCACGGCGTTGGTGACCTTCTCCGTGTCCATCTTGTGGATTGAGTCTAAGGGCAGCTGCACGATGAGGCCGTGGATAGACGAGTTCTCGTTCACCTCTGTGATGCTGTGAAGAACCTACAGACAGACAGACAGACAGACAGACCGCCTTTACAATCCCATGTCCTTCTCCTGTCATTTAACAATTAACCTTACTATCCATATTTTGTTATGGCACCTAAAGCCTCCTTAAATGTTAAACTTTGCACCAATGTCACTGCACTGAAAATCATGTTGACTATCTCATGTTTTACATCCTTGAATACAGTCAAGTGTCTTACTGTGAGTGTGACCGTGTTTGGAAGTCAACTTTTGAACTGTAAAACGTAGTTACTCTTTTAAAACATGTATATATTTTGATATTACCCAGTTACCATAGCCGATTACAACTACATTGATTTTGTTATTTCATAATGTGACTCCAACACAGTTACTAGTTGCATATTAACACTGTGTATACAGTCAAATCAAAACCTGGGATACAATAATACTTCAAATCCACTCTCACCTCCTCCTCCGTTGCAGTCTTGGGCAGTCTCATGTGTGTAGCGTTTATTCCAATCTGTGTTCACAGAAGCAGAGATTAGACCCGAAGTTGGGACTGATTGCAAACAGTTTGTAGAAAATGTGTGGTGTACGAACTGTGTGTAAATAAATGTTGTACCTCTGCTGCAGCCTTTAACTTCATGCTGATGTACAGATTTGAATCATCGCGGTCTCCAACCTGCAAACGAAACCCATATAACTTGCAAAACTTACAAAGTAGTATATAAAATAATACAGGTTCCTGTTTCAAATGTACACTTACCTGTAAAACCACCAGACCGGGTTTGAAGTTTGGGTCCTGAAGCTTCATCTGCTCCACATCCTTTTTCAGACCTTCCCTCACCTTCCTGAGAAAGAAAGACAACAGAATAAAAGCTTGTTAATCTCTTATTTAGTGACATCATTTTTCAATATGCCTTCAATCTCCACTGCACATGCAAAGCCAGGTCATCAGTTGAGGAGAATGAGAATCTTATCTTTGGTATTTGTCTTTATTTGTTGTCCATTCAACTTGTACAGTAGATGAACTCAAGTCAACTAAAACAATCAAAGACAGCAGTGACACAAAGATACTGGTCTTTAACTTTACATTACAATCCATTATAAGATCTAGCGTGTCAGAATAAAGCTTAAAACTGACAGCATTTTTTGTTCATATGCTAATCACAAAACAAATTAGCTTTATTGACTTCATCCACGGTGTTGCTCAAGAGGCTCCGGAGATAGACAGATGATCACATTTTAAACTCTTACCAAAGAAACAGACTCAGATTAAACAGTGTCTTTGTGCATCACATGAACTTCATTGGCAGTCATGGTAGAATACACCATGTGATTACCATTGATGAAGGATGCATGACAAAGTGGAGTGACACCACTTTGAACTACATTTGAAGTTACCTTTGAGTGTTTTTGCCCCTATGACCGTACAAAATGTGTGGTTTGTGTTTGTAATCTTCATCCAAAGGGCCCAAATAACCTGATGATTTTAATGTCTTCCAGCCCAATTCAAAACATCAGGCACTTTAAAGCAGATGGCACTTTGGACAAAATACACATTTTAAATCGACATGTGCAAGCCATACAGTATATATCAAATACCTACTTTTGAAAGTTTGTTCTTTAAGGACAATATTTCACATATAACCTTCATTTATTCATAAAAAGGAGGTTGGCGTAATTAAGGGCTAAACATTTAAATGTCTAATTCTAGGAATTCTAGGACTTCACATATAGTAATAGTATAAATGATTGCATCACAACAACAGTCCTTATCTTAGCTACAACAGTAGATATCTTTATCACAGGTCACTGTTCAACTAGGGCCATATTCCTGTAACACTCATACAATACACAGTACTGTTGGGCTTTGATTGTGGCCCGTGCCAACCAATTGTACTTCCTTAAAGACCTCACGTAAGCATAGTAGAGAATTACATTTCCTGAAAGGCAGAGACACTTGTGAATCAAACCAAAGTCCATAAAGGTCTAGAGAACAATCAATGGTCAGCTTTTGTCAAGCTTCAAAAATAATGAATGTAAAGCCTCCAACTGAATGCATGTCAGATCTGTGAATTTAATTAAACTAATGAGTACTGTGAGGGGCTTTTAACATGGTGCAGGCTGTTACGTCTTGTGACAAGCACATGCAACTCAATTAAATGTTTATTCCTCTTTGCCAAAAACCCTATCCTAAACTGTGCATGGTAAGCAATAATTGGATTCATTCAAACTGAAAACTAATAATAATATAAGAAAATATTCTGAAAATTACACTTAAATAATAAAACAGGTTTTCATGAAGGGTGTTTGTCATCACCTGAGGTCACTGTACCTACAGGGCAAAGATCATATCACACAGCTTCTTACATAATACTGCAGGATTTGCAACCATTGAAGTTTTCAATTATCTGACTTTATTTAATACCACCAAATTACACAAGTGACAGTCACATGTCAGTACATTTAGTATTAACACAATGAGACTTATCTAACTTTCAGTAAATAAATATAGCATTCAACTTGAGAAAGAGTCCACTGTGTTTTAGAAGCTGGATGACTTAACGGTATAGTAACTGTTGGGGCACACTTCATTCACGTGGACAGCATAATGTGCAACCAATACAACTAAGTTAAGAAAGAATGATGTGCTGCAAACACTGACAAGAAAATACAATATACATATAAAACATATGTATGTTAAACATGGATAAGGCTCCTTCAGAGTCGTTTTTTTATGACTGAAGTGACGTTAACTTTACCTTTTAACACCGTTAACTTAACTAGTTAGCAGCCTAGTTAGCCAGCACACACACACGTTTCGTCACGCTGTTTACATCTATTTGGCTCTATATGCAGCAATAAAGGAGCAGGATAAAGTCTGTTACTTACGCTGAAACCTCTTTCCCGCTTATGATTTGAGCTGACATCTTTTTGGTCCAGAATATCCTTGTTGTAAAATGCTGGTGTCTCGTGCACACACTCGCAGGCTGACCAGAAGAGAGGAGCACGGGGAGGACTCCCACAAATTTAAGTTTACTCAAAAAGTGTTGTGAGTCAAAGGGGATGGCGTAGGCCCCATGCACAACTCAAGCACTACAAATGAAAACCATCGTATTAACTTTCAGGAATAGCGTTAAGGCTACAGAGAAGGGCGCGGCCATTGACCATCTGTCAACTCTCACAGCCAATTGCATGCAGAACCTAACAACCAATAGGATTTCCAGTTTTTAAGGGCGTGTGGTGATGGGCGGGACTACACAGAATGTAATAACGCTGAGAGAACCAGCAGAGGGCAGCACTGTATTAACACATCGCTCTGATATCCGTTAAAAACACAGCAGTATTTGTATTTGCCCAACTTGACGTTTCATCGGGATTGTTTTGATCCTTGCCAGGGCGTCGTCACTCGGATAACCACCAGAAAGTGCTAGAACAAACTATACTCAGATAGCTTGCTTCAGTCCGATTTAAGACATGAAGAAATACCGAGAGCTATGGAGAGTAGATACTGTGTTTTGAGCGATACCGAAGACTTCCAAACGCTAATAACAAACACTGAGAACAATCTCCACTTCGAAAGGTAAATAGATAGCAGCTGCTAATGTTTTAAGCTAGCATGCTTTTGGGGTTCTGTCTATTACTTGACATTGCGTTGTTTGTTTTGTCAATTCCAGCTGACTTACGTATGTTTACATAGAGTTACTTGGTAGTATTGCCGCCGTATTTTAACATTATCCAATCCAAACCCATATGTGCAACAAACTAAACACCTATAATCCTCTGCTATGCATTTGTCTCTTTAGGTCTAAGACACTGTTTGAGGAAATCCGTGCCTCCATCAACAACAATGAGGAAGAGGATCGCTCCTTCTGGAGGCCTGTGCTGCCTTGGGGGGGCGTCTTTACTATTAAAGCAGGGCGAAAGGCTATATCCTGCACCCCTCTGTACGTCAAAATCAACCTCAAAAACACCTGCACCATCGATGGCTTCCTCGTGATCCTGTATGTGATCCTCCGGGACAACGAGGGCTTTCCCAGGGAGCTGGCTGTGTTCCTGGGAAAGCAGTTTGTGGAGTACTTCCTCAACCTGATGGACTCCTGTGACTACACCACAGTGAAGGTGCTGTGGATCTTAGACAGGATGTCTAAAAGACAGTACCGCTCTCAGGTGCACCAGGCAGCACTGGAGATTGACCTTTTTGGGAATGAGCACGAAAACTTCACAGAGAACCTGGAGAACCTCATGTCCACCATGCAGGAGAGCCTGTGCACCAACTGGAGCTGCCCCAGCCGCTTCCAGGAGTTCATCAAGGTGACCATCAACACCAGGTACACTGCACACAGGGGTCATATTATCTGGAGGTTACACAGGGAACTGGATGCTACTTCTTAGAGAATCATGGACCAGAAATGTACTGTAGTTGAGTAAAATCCAAGCAACTTTTACTTTACTGGAGTGTTTGCATTTTCCGCCCTATATACTCCACTACATGTAAGTGACACATATTGTACGTTTCACTCAAAGGCATGTGAAATGTTCCATCCCCTTCCTGTGCAGTGAAAACAGTGTATCTCCATATGTGTGGATGTTCACTCTTCTGATAAACTGAAGGATAAAGTTTTGCTTAATGTGTTGAGAAATGATCTTACTTGATAAGATACTTCTTGAGCTTAATAAACTATTTTAATAGGATCAGCTGCGAAATGCATTGTTACAAAGCATAATTGTTTTCCTCAATAACTCATGAAAACATGTGTTTTTACTTTTTAGACATGTATGGCTCTTGACAGGAGGACAGTGATGCTACAAACATTTGATGATCTTATAGAATACAATGCATTAATGTAGATTAAAATACACAACAGTACGAAAAGGAGTTAAAATGAACAAAACCATAAACAGAAAAGTCAATAAAATGCAACACTTTTATGCAGCAGTACTATTAATTCAGATATCCAACATTTTAAAACAGCTGTCTTTATCTAGTCATACTCTGTAGCAAATGCTTAACATGTCAAATGTCTCTGGACTTTGTCCCTGTAGAGATCCTTGTCAACACTTCAAATAGTACTAATAGCTTAGGTCAACTGCAGCAGAGATTCATACTTAAATAGATGAATGTTCACCCCCTGACATACTAAACTAAATTCCACCTGTTTAATTGTATGTTAATCCATATATTCATGCAATTAATCTGAATTGTCTTGGTATGAGAGTATTTTAAGTTGGTCAATGGTGTGTTATTGACAGGAACTCTTTGTGATATGTTTCCTCCAGCCCTCCTCATGAGCTTCCTCACAGAGACCCCATCCAGTCGGCCGTGGACGAGTTCTTCTGCCCCAAACTCCTGCTCTGCTCAGAACTGGGGTGAGACACGGAGGGTTTTTATCATCTTCTAATTCACTCAACTATTATCTCCCTTCCTTAACAAATGTATCCTTTTTTATTTAGGTGTGATGGACTGAGGGAGTTCTCTCAGAGGGTTTTCTGCCATGGACCCCCACCCTTTGTCATTCTCAACATGCAGCAGTGGAAGTCAGAGGAGCTGTCCTATGTTCCGTACCATCTAGCTCTCTGCCAGCACAGGTAAGGAGCTGCATGGGATGGGTACTAAAGAAGAAGGATTATTACAAAAAATATTTCCCAATTGTCAGAATAAAAAAACTGGCAAATCTAAAGCTCAACCGATAATTAGCTAGTTTAAAAAATGTTTTTAATTGACTTGGTATCCAGTGCTGTACCAAAGCATTCTCCACATTGGATCATGAGATGATAGCACATTTATTAAAGGTCACCTATAATGCAAAATCCACTCTTTCATGTAGTCATTCACTTTTTCATCCTCTGTGTAAAGAGATTCTGGAAGTTTCAGGAAAAAAGATTTGCACACTTTTTGTCCTGATCCATTTCTATAAAAACCTGTCTGAAAATGCTGATCAGATTTTGGCCACTTTATGATGTCACAACATTGTTTTGGCCTGTGTAACAATTAGCCAATCACCAACCATGGTAACCCCCCCCCCACCTTATCACCTGAATCTCCTCTAGAGCAGGGGTTCCCAAACTTTGCCATGCCAAGGACCCCCATATAGCATTATCCTCTGGCGGGGACCCCCCTGTTGCAATTTTTATTTTAAATGATGTGTACAAGTGCCTCCCGATGGAACATGCAGTGCGTTGCCACTACATTTGGGGCCTTCTGCCTGATCGAAGCTGTCACTCCGCTTTCTTTGCCTGTCATAGCCCCACTGCCCCATCTGAACACACACCCACACAACGAGACCAGTCAAGTCCGTTTGAGATGATGTACTCATCTAAAACTTGGAAAATGTCTCTTCATGTGGTCCTACCTTCCAGTGCTTTGTAAATAATATTTCCTCAACAAAGTTGTCTTCTGAAATAAATCTGATTTATGCAAGCAATTCTGCGACATTTGCTACATCCGTGCTCTCATCCAGCTGCAGAGCGAAACATTCACTAGCTCTCACTTGCTCCAAAAGCTGAGCAGATTTTCACTCGCAGTAGCGGCAGCTCGATTTTGATTGGCTTGAAGGGCGGTCGTGTGATTCAAAAACAAAAAATATGAAAAGACTGGCATCAAAGGACACATAAATTGATAGATATGCAGTTATTAATAACATTAACTCAAACTTTGAGTGAACCCCCCTGGTGCCCCCTGGCGGCCCCCCGGGGGGTCGGGGCCCCCACTTTGAAAAACACTGCTCTAGAGCACCATTGTGTTCTTTTTAACCAAATATCTCTCAGAGGGGCGTGGGGAGTGGCTCCTTATTTTCATCTAAAGTAACAGACAGAGAATCAGCACTTTTGAAACAGGGCTGAAACAGAGGGGTTTATGGGATGCTACAATGATCTGTTTGGTGTTTCCAGCCAAACACTTCAGAGACATGTTTTGTATCTGAGACCTATAATATATTGATGAAAAACAGTATAATAGGGGAACTTTAAGAAATAATTCTGAATTTAAAGACACAAGATTTGTTTTGCAAAATAAAGTATCTAGTTCTTCTTCTACAACTTTTTTTCCTCCAGTATATTTTCCTCACAAATAGTATGCTCTTTCTTTGCCTATCCTGAACATCATAAAGGCATTTTTTTAAATTGAAGAACAATTTTTTTCTCCACAGGTACTTACTAGAGGGCGCCACACTCTTCAACAAGGAGGAGCATCACTACTCCGCAGCCTTCCAGATAGACGGCTGCTGGATGCACTACGACGGTCTGAGGAGCGACAACCTCATCCTGCTGCACCGGCCCCCTGAGCTCCTGCTGCTCTCCTCTCTGGTCTACATCCGCTCCTCCGACAAGTGAACTTATCACACAAACTTCCTACAAATATGTTTTATACGATTATTTTCTACTTATCATATCATTAGTTCTTTTTTGAGTCATTCCTGGCAGCTTCCTCTGCTGAATGACGGATGCTTCCTTTGAGCTGACTGCTTGCAGAAATCTTAATTTGCTAAATTTCTTTTGGGCATGCTTGGTATCCAAGAATATAATGGACTATAATAGTTCTGGGTTAATATGCCTAAGTGACAGTAGCAGTGAGTAATGCATATTCAGATACCCGACAAAACGAGGGAGATTGATGTGTTAAAAACGCCATGGTTAATGGATTACACTCTGAGGGTGCAGTTGCTATTGTATAGCAGTAGGGGACGACAATGACTGTATATCTCATTTCTATCAAAATTGCAAGTTTACAATTTTGCTGGTGTCTTTTTCTATTTACACCATGGTCTGAGGATAAAAACCAACCAAATAAGGCTGTTGTCCCTGTCCAGGTTTACTCTTTTTGTGTGAAGATGTCTTAAATTGGAGGCAGGCATTCCATGCAATGAGTGAGTGTTAAAATACAAATATCTTATTTATGTATGAAGGATGAGGGCAGTCTGAAGTATCTTTTTTCTGTCACTACAACAAAGGAAACATGCATATTTACACATTTAACCTTAAAGGACCCCTATTATCCTCATTTTCAGCTTATTAAATAATATTGTATTTGTATTTTGTGCCTCTATTGTGGCATCTGTACATGCTTTTAATGTACATAAAGTTTATTGTTCTCATACTGCAGCACCTCTTTTCAGCCTCTGTTTGAAACCAGAGCCCAGCCTGCTCTGATTTGTCAGATGGCCGGCTCTGTTGTGATTGGTCCACTGCTTAGAGATGTACTGCCTCTAGCCTATTATGTACAATGTGTTGTAGTGCGAGCCTATAGAAGCGGAAGTGTTACATAGTGATGTCATTATCTTACAAGGTAAACAAAGGATAACACACTACATGAAAGAAGCATAATAGGGCCTCTTTAAGGAATACTTGGCATTACACAGTGCCTCTGCCAAAGAAAGTTCTGGAAGTGATGCATCAGTCATTGAGCAGCCAATTTTCTTTCTATGCAGAATAAAAATATTTTGGAGTACACTTGTATTGGATTATTTTTGTTGGATGTGTAATGTGTATAACAAGAAGAGCCACATAAAAGCAGACGGTACCTTTTAAGGCAGGCATTTATTTTTAAACTGGGTACAACTGCACCACACAAACTGACTAAAATGTTTGTAAAATGTCTTCAATCAAAACATGATCAAATGTGAAAAGCTACGGTTTCTACGCCTAAGGTTATCTTGTACTTCCAGTATTAATCCACAGGATATAAAATTCAAGATCATCACCTTACTCCAGACACACAATGGGGGGGGGTGGAAATGTAAAAGAAGCAGAGTGGTCTTTTGGCTAACATTGACATCAGTTTCAAAGGGTTTTTCTTTCAGACACAAACAGAGTGGCAGTCCATTGCAGACCAGAGGTGTTAGTCATCCATCTGCTTTCTTTGAACAAGCACTTTGGTGAGAGTGGTGGCAAAAACATGACATTGGTTAGGCCGTAATGAAAATGCAAACTCAATTTCAACATCCCTTCTTTTTGCAGATTCACGTTTGCAGATATTTTCATCATCGTCCCTCCGAAATAAGTAGTTAATATACACCTCAAATCATGACACTGTACATAACATTGGTGCTGGATGAGTCATGGCTGCAGCACATAATTACGCCTGCGTGATTTGTGCTTTGGCTGTTAAGCAACTAACAAAATCTCGCACAATACACAGAATTAGAAAACAAAAATCAGATTACAGAACATACAAAAATTATAATAAATACAAAAGAAGTCATTCACATCTTTCTTAATTAACATTTTGCAGAATATCCTTAGGTTGCTTATTCATTACTCTTTCAAAATAAAGCAGAAATCGTGAAGACAGTACTCTACACTCAACAAGATGACAATATTGCAAGACACATGTCATTAGAAGATCTTATCTGTAGTAATGCTTTCCCTAGTCATTTCGCAAACATCAACTTTAGAGTACAAGTAGAAGAGCACATGTCCCTTCTAACATTTACAAGACGTTTGTGATGAGAACAGCTGATTCAAAAAAGAAAAATACAATTTAAATTAGGCCATTCATTACAATTAATGACAATCAATCTGAATCTGCCTCGATAAACATATGCCTTGTACAAATGATCCAGCATGCACTACAAAATGACAAAACAGGGTGTGTGGTGGGATGAGGCAAAGGTACCGTTTGAAGTTCCATCAGACGTCCACAGTGAATCAACAGACATGCCATGTGGGGTTCTGTTACAGCAATATGAGATGCCTTGGCTTTTTAAAGAGACACAAACAAAAACGCTATTCATCCACAGAGAGAACAGAAGTCTTATTGCATTATCTAAATGCCGTTATCCTAAATTAAACATATATACACAAATTACAATATGTATCAAATAGTTTGGTAAGTGCAATGCAGAGCTCCGTTACAGTTTCACCTGTGTGCAGACATCAGCGCACACACAGAGACTCAAACTACACGTCTTGAACATTAAGTGACTCAACATAACACACACCTCACCTAGCATTTTCTAGCCTAGCGCTCCCTCTATTGCTGTGCGTTGCTTGACCTCTCTGTTTAGCCTAGCCACCCCCTCAAAGGCTGCACAATAGTGACACCCTCAGCCAGTCTGGAAGTCCCACACCCAGGGGAGCACTCCCAACACCCAGGACTGGGGACAGAGGGAACATGGACTGAGTTGGCTGGCACAGCCCTTGGTGCATTACTAATACATTAGCAATAAGGACGAGAATAGAATGTTCCAAATTGTGGCACACTAAGGAAGCCGTTTCTAGCACTGGAGGTGGGAAAGAGCAAAAAAAAAGTCATTTTTTGGCACTTCACATGAAGCTGTGAATGGATTATCTCAAACCTGAGCAAGATGGGGATCACATTTCACGCAGTTTGTAAGTGAAAAGAGCAAGTGTTGGAGCCAATCAGGGGATCGAGACAATGGCAAAGCATGCTCATATCCAGAAACAGGGAGGATGTGGGGAAGGGATAAATAAAATAACAGAATCCATCCAAAAAAAGTGCTAGATTTCCAACCTTTTAGATATTTATGAGGACAGAAGTTTGCAGTTTTCCAACCGCAGGCTTCCTTCCAGTAGGGCTTTATTTTATTGCATGGTTTAGGGCCATTCAATTATTAAATGCAAACAAATCAAATGAGTAACATCTTCTAGTAATGTAGCAGAGGCTGAACAGAGGTTGACCTACTTGTGTGAGGCAACACAGACAAACAGCTGAATCCTGAATCCTAAATATAGCACCAGTTGGTATTGTGTACAGACCAAAGGGTGAAAGGAGGGCTAAGGTCGATTTCAACAATTGTGAAGAGGAGCAAGTGCATGACCTGACCTTAGGGAGATGTAACAGAAGATAGAACATGGGGGATTCAAATGGCTCCGAGGATGAAGCAGAAACTGGCGACAAACTCTCTCAGGAGAATCTGTCACTCACCTCTACACTGACCCTGGGAATCAAACTACACACACATCCGCACATACACACTAGTGACCCAGTGCAGAAAAACATTTACAGGCAATGCACTAAAGGATATATTCATATATTTTATTTAGACTATTTACAAGAGAGTAAGGCAGCCCTTTTTGAAAATATAAAGATTCCAACTTTTCTCTTTTTTGTGAAGCACTGATTTTGATGCAGAACTCCTGGGTTGCTGAGCCCGAGCCACACACACACACACACACACACACACACACACACACACACACACACACACACACACACACACACACACACACACACACACACACACACACACACACACACACACACACACACAACACACACACACACACACACACACACACACACACACACACACACCTGCAGTGTTCTACAAAATCTGAACCCATGGTTCCAGTTGCAGCTGGTATTAAACACAATTGATGGCATGAAGGAGAACAAATAAATGTCTGCTAACATAACAGAAAACAACTAAAAGTGACAAGTTTTCTCCCACAATCCCCTGGGAAATGGCTCGGAGTCCTCATTGTGGTCCAGCAGCAGTAGAGCGGTCGTCTCCTTGTGCCCGTGACAACAGGCGTCCAATCATCTTCCTCTCTGTTCCGCAGCTCTTCTCCATCTCTGCAGCCACGTCTGTGGTCTCCATCTAGCCAGCCAGCTAGCCCCGGCACATCCATCCACCCACCCAGCAGGATCTCTCTCTCTCTCTCTCTCTGTCCTCCGGTGTTCTTGGTGGTGTGCAGCGCTCCTCTGCACCTGGAGGATGAATGTGGGGGAGGAGGAGGAGACAACAAAAAAGAAACGTCTTTGTGTCTAAGTTCTCTTATGGGGTCCTAGCTGGCTGGGCCATGGGTCAAAGGGCAGTCAGACCAAAGTTGCAGCGGCAATACATCATGCCACTCGAGTCCAACCAGCTGTCCGAGATGGGGTCGTAGCGCTGGACAGTATTCAGGTAAGAAGACCCGGAGTGACCGCCCACCACATAGAGGTAGTTGTCCACAATGGCAGAGCCCACACCTGCAAGACAATGTTAGCCATATGAAGTTAATGACAGGAATGTCCCACCATTTTCTGGATGCAGTGATCTTGGTTAAAATGATAGTCTGCATGTACTGATGAGATCCAATTTACTATAAATAAAAAAATTATTTGAAAAACTCTACGGCAATGTCTTTTTCCAAAAGTCATCACCTCAATGTTATTTAAGATAATCCACATAACTAGTTGTGAGCATTTTCATGTAGGAACTTGTTTTTTCTACCAAATAATACGGGAATATCCTATCAATGTAAAGACGGAAGCTTGCACGAGTGAATTATCATAAGCGCCAGGTCATGATATCTACAAAAAGACAACGCTGTAAAGTTATTGCTTTTAAAAACACATTTAATAGCAATTTGGGGCTACACCACAGACTGACAATTCTAGTATCTCCAACAGCCGCCAACTCACACCAAAAAAAGTTGGACTAGAGGTTAGAGGAAAAAGAAATATTTAAAATGTTAGCGTAAACATTCCCTTTATGTCTTTGCAAGCAGTCTCTTAAGATATTGCCAATAGGAGTCAACAAAACCAAATTTGCAAAATCACACAAACAGGGGGGTCCAGTTATACCATTATAATGTAAACTCACCAGTGCGTGGTTCATTCATTGGCCGACAGGCTGTCCACTGGTTCTGATGGGGATCAAACCTCTCAATGCTAGACAGGTGTGACACTCCGTTGTGTCCGCCCACCACAAATATGAAGCCCAGCATGACGCCCACTCCGAAGTTGATCCTCTTGTCTGCCATGGGGGCTACCATTTCCCAGGCATCCTTGCTGGTGTCGTACCGCTCCACGCTGTGTGAACAAGAGGCAGCAGAGTCACTCAATGGTTTGAAAAGTCCAAACTGATGTCATCTTTCATCAATATGCAATCCCCGACAGAGCCCCAGACATTTTTGACATCATAAAATAGACACAAGTGGAACAATAGTTAATAAATAAAATGAGGAGTTATTTGGAAAATTGGCAATACTTAGTTATTGTCAAGTATATGATATAGTATATAGTTCATTTGTCTATACAATTGTAAAATGAATTGGACCAATAGGTAGTCATATTTGATTGTTAATTGCACATTTATAAGAGAACAGTATAAGTCTGATCTGTGATCCCACACATGATGCAACTATCAAGAGGGCAACTAATGGTAGTGGTAAGTCATCAACTTGGACAAAAAAATTCCCTGACAGTACCTGGAACGCTAGTAATCAGGGATTGTTTTGCAGTATATGTAAAGACATTAGCCATTGTGGAAAGAAAAAAGAATTGTCCCCAAAGATTTTCCATCCAAACACATTCTCCTGAGGGGTTTCAGGAGTCAAGGAAACGAGCAACAGAGGCGCTGCTCTCGAGAGATCCACGGCAACAACAGAGGTCTAACCAGCAGCACACAGTCGGCACCATCTCCATGAAACTTCAGCAACCACTTCTGTTCACTCATTAACAAGATCCTGGACATTTTCTCAGCAACACTTGACATCCTTCACTTGATTACCAGTTCTATGTAATAACTAACAAGACTTTGAGGGAGAGAGCTGGTCGGGAGGTCTGAAAAGGGCTACAAGGTTTTCACTGAGATTAAAGACTATTTAAAAAGATAGATAGGATGTGGTAGAGCACCACAAACTTAGATTGCTAATCACAAATGTTGTCTGTAGGAGCAAAGCAAGATTCGGTGCATATTTTGACCCTTTGTGGCTTTCTGCAATGTTTTTATCATACAGAAACTTCAATGAAAGAAGTTACATTTGAAAGGGGTGAGAAACAGATGTGCTAAATATCATATAAATGACTGAGCGATGGCATTAATTAGGCCTTTTCTACATTAGGTCATCTAAAGATAATTATTCATCTTAATACACATGCCCATTTAACCTGCTGGTGTCCAATTACAGGGATCAAATATTTCTCTTTTCACAATTAACACCGACTTAAATCATGTAGTTCTCATACAAGTTCACAGGTCTGCTAGAGTAATTAGGTTACAAACTATTCCTTGTGTTTGACATCTCATAATATAGAGTACACATCCACAGGTACATAGAGCTCTATCAATTCTCAGTGGTTTTACCTATTCATATGGGCCGGGCCATAGCCTCCGATAGCGTACACCATGCCATCCAGCACTGCTGTGGCAAAGCAGCTTCGGGACTTGGTCATGGGTGCCACAGGCTGCCACTCCTTCAACTTGGGGACGTATTTCTCCACCGACTGGAGGTAGTACTGGCCGTCGTAGCCTCCGAGGGCATACAGCTCGCCCGCCAGCACCACCACCCCCAGTGTGCTGCGGCACTCAGCCATGCGCTCCACCGAGGACCAGGTGTTGCTCTCGGGGTCCCAGCTCTCCACTGTGCTCTCGTGCCTCCGATAGCTAATGCCCTGTCTCATGTGTGTGGCGATTCCTCCCACCACGTACACCTTGTGGTCCAGCACTGCCACTCCAAATTCATATCGGGGTCCACTGAGAGGGGCCAGTCCTATCCAGGAATCTGTCCGAGGGAAATACATTTCAATGCTGCAAGAGATAGATTCATGTTATCTGGTTAGTTTATTTTTAAATACACAAAACAAAAAAGCAAGAAATCATTCAGAATTTGGAAAGTTGTCAATAGATCATAACATGATTATTATTACCTTTCTAATGTTGCAAACAATCCCGCCTTGCCTCCTACAGCAAGCAGAACCTTGGGGGCACACCGGGGCCGCGCCGACAACACAGTCTGATAGGAAAGCCGGTGTTCGGGCATAAAATGATATTTAAGGGCCTCGTTGAGCAGGTGCTTGCATGCGTGGTCATCTCGTATAAGGTGGTTGGCTTCATATAGGCGAGTGAGAAATTTGACGCTGAGGAGTGGAAGGCGAACACAGTGCAGGAGCTGGGATAGATGCTGCTGTCTCTCAGTTACATCATATTTGATCCACGACTCCAGGGCGTAAAACACAGTCTCCTCTGTGACCACCTTAAGGCAGTCATTGGACACGATTTCATCTAACTCGGCCCTCGTCAGTTCGAAAAACTCCTCTGTCAAACAAACTTCCTCAAAGTTCTCACAGATGAACTTAGTTGCAGCCAGGCACAGGTCATGACAGCCATACGTCTCTGCAAAGCGGGAGATGCCTATACAGTTCCCAGCATCCAGCTGGCTCTCTAAGAAGGAGCAGCACTCCTTAAGTACTAGCTTAACCTGGAGTAAGTCGGCAGCCGGTAGCAGAGATTCCACCGTTTCCTGGGAGATAAACACGGTGCCAGTGTAGGCATACTCGACAATGGCCTAGAAAATAAAGAGTAAAGGTGTCACATAAAAAATAAAAGCAGTACAGCAGTGAATCAGTGCAGTTTATATGGTGTGTGTGCTGTGTCCAAGCATACCTGCAAGGCAGTCTCATCGATGCACTGAAAATCCACCTCAGAGGTCTCCTTTTCTGACAGGTTACCTGTGAACATGGCCTTGAAGTATGGGCTGATGCTGGCCAGCACTACTTTGTGGGCATGGATCTTGGCATCACCCACACGCAGGACAATGTCACATAGTTCGTGATCCTGCCGCAAGAGCTGGAGGCCTTGCAGCAGCTGCTCGGAGTGAGGCCGTTTCAGACTGGCAAACATATAGGACTGGTCCTGCTGGTCCATCTGAGAGCAGGAATCCACATATCAGTGCATTGTTGACATTGTGTGAAGGCTAGTGATGCAGTGGAATATTCTGATTAACTGACATGTGACCACCAGCCAATGGACATACTGTAAATCATCATGTAAATTAACCATTATCTTGTCCCTTCAACTACAAGCCTGAAAAGTCCTGTTCAACATGACGTAATTACAGCAAGCGTTGAGGAAAAGCAGAATGATGCATTAAGATATTTGTTTTACTTATACAGTATGTATAACAACATGCACGCATAGCAGTGCACTGTGAGGCAAGCTAAAGAAGCATGATCTTCTTAATCCAGTGCTAACGCTACTTAAAGTGAACTGACCGTACTGGTTAATAAGCAATAAGCATATCGTTTGTGGTTAACCTCAAGCCAACCGCATTAATGCTGCTGTGCATTTAAGCTTTATGTTGTTCAGACACTGTAACAGTACTGTTATATTTTGTTGACTGGGGCCTTGGCTTGATTTCTGAACGGAGGACATAAAAACTCGCTAGCTAACGTTACCTCTTAGCTTTACAATAGAAGACAGCTAGTGCGCTAGCTTACACTCTGTAAAAAAAATAACCAACAGAAACAGAAATATATTCCCCCGCATATTTTCCCTACATTAACATAAACCTCCATGTCACCATCGTATCGTCAACAATGTTCGCCTCCAGCAAATACACAGCGCCTATATATGTGCCATTGCACTGCAGTCGGCGCAGGTTAGCTGCTAAAAATAAACACGGTTACTGTGGTTAGCTGAATCATTTGATAGATATACAGTAACATGGCTGACAGATACAGAACGTGACGTTATAGCCAGGTAGCTGTCAGATTAAATGTGTATAATGTCAAAGCAAGCAAAACAAACCTGTAACCTATAGTCCGTCTGTGTGCCGCTGTAATGACCGATTTTGCAGTGGCGGAGTTCAGCAGCGACGAGTGGGAAGCCCAGGCGGCTATAAAGAAAACAACCTACTGCCAACCTAGCTACCGAGCTACAGATGAGCTCTTATAATAACGAGCTGTCGGAGCAGCACTCCCACTTCCGGTGTTTTCAAAATAAAACGACAGTTATTTCTAAGGAAAAGCTACAAGCCAATGTGTTATAACTATGGTTATAACGATAGTAAACTTTACAACTTTTTATAAAGAAATATTAACATTATTCTAGACCGTTATGATAACGAAAAAACACACGTACACACATGAAATTCATGAATGTTCTTATACCACCATACAGTATTGCTAAAGCTCTGTGGTAATATCCATACACAAATACATATTTGAAACAAACTGCTACATGTCAGTCAGCTCAGACAAAAATAATAATAAAGCATTTTTGCTTTCCCAATATACATGAGTAGCAAAAAAAAAAGTATTTTAGTTTGAGTGAGTATACATGGGCACAGTTAAGAACTAAACAGAAGCAGCATTTACATAGACACATTTACAAATACAACCATATATACACACAATTCATGTACAACAATGTTTCATAAAACAGCACACTAACAAGAGTGGCGGCTAATATTAATATAATAGTTCTATAGATATATGTGGAGTTCAAAACTAGTTAAAATGACATAGTTTGTCCTGTTACATCTGAGTGTTTCCACTCTGTTTGCCTGTGGAGCCCACGCCGCTGCTCTGTGCAGATGAACCGCCTGGAGGAGCTTGGAACTCGCGTCACCATGGAAGCGCTCAGTTTGCGACATGTATTCGCCATTTTGCCTCCTCGGTGTGTGTGTTGTGTGTTGTGTGTGTGTGTGTGGGCTCCTCTCTGTGTGAATACCTCCGTAGCTTTCAAACATTCAACACTCCAGACATACCATCTGAAACATCCACGGAAAATGTCTGCACTAAGGAGAACCGTAGCCGCCGCAGCCTGACATGGACATTTGGACGACGTAACATTAGATAGACTTGTCGAGCGTGACGGAAGAGGATCAGGAGAAATGCGAGGTCTGTTTTCCTGCTGTTTTCATAACTTTGCTAGCTCAGTCAGCCAGCACTAACCACCCACCACACTAGCGCAGTTAGCTTAGCACCGTTTGAGTGTTGCAGTTATCGTTAGCCAAGGTTCTTGGTAACGTTAGCTAACTCATGTAGGCTGCTTAACGGTAACGGTGTAATTTAGTCAGGGATTGATTATAAGACCATTGGACGCATTAGTATTGTATAACTGGCTAAGACTCCCATTGACACGCATTTTATTAACTCATGTTAGAATAACAGGGAGTAATGTAGCAGTTAATGTTATCTAACCATTCTGCTGATGACTACCGTGCATGAGAGCCACAAGTGGTTGTTGTGTCCATTCTCTCTATTCTAACGTAACGGTAGTCCATGATCATAATGTAGAGGAAACACTGTCAATTAAAATCTGTACATTTATGTGGTTGTGTAACATGTTCAATAACATTAATAGCCATGTTTTCCCTCATAACACTCTTGAGTAAATGGAAATTGAATCGATCATGCGTTTTTGTATGTTTTACATTCACAGCTTGATAACCAGGAGGGTGGTTTCCATCACCAAAGACACCTCAGGATGAAATCCCGAATTAAAGAGGAGGGATATTATTGTCCTCTCGGGCTTGTGTTTGCTTCTTTGGATTCTCAATTTTGACAGAAACCATAAGACCATCAATAATGATACCTGGATTGATCTCCCAGGAGTTACATGAGCTGCTTCTGGACCTGAAGAATTACCAAAATCGCACAAATGGGGTGGAAGAGCTTAAACAGATCCTGTCCGAAGTGGACATAAAATCAGTCCCATCCGGCAGTATTTTGGAGTTCATTAATTTCCTCCCTCGGCTTCTGGATGACAGTAATTTTAAAGTGTTGTATGGCACATTACAAGTTTTAAACTTACTTATTCAGAAGCTGGATACAGGTGTAGACAGATATTTCAAGCAGATAGTCTTAGTGGCTCTGAACACGCTAGGGGACACTCGCACCATCACAAGAAGTGAATACATGAATGTTTTCCGACAGCTGATTAGATCTGTTGCACCACAACAAGTATTAGATCTTGTGATTTGCAACTTGAAACAAAATAATTCAAGGGTACGGGAAGATGTCCTTAACATCATCATGGCAGCTATGCTCACTCATCCTAGAAAAGATTTCAACATCCCCAAGCTTTGTTTTGAGGTTGCACCATACCTGGCAGACAACAAGAGGAAGGTCCGCCACGCCGCCCTTGAGCTGTTTGCCATTTTTGACTATTGCCTTGACACAGGGAAAAAACAGCCTCTAATGAAAGCTGTGGACATGGTGGAACTCAATGAGGATGCAGAGGGTCTTATGGCAGCTGTACAGGCAAGACGAGCAAGGCACGTCCTTCCTAAACTCTCCTCAGAGGGGATAGTTGAATATGGCTTGGTGGTCCCCAAACCAGGACACCGGTGCACCCTGCAGCATGGTTCTGGGGCCGATCTGGACTGGGTGATGAACGGAAGGCGGATAAGCAGTGCCAGGAGCCACAGAACTGAACCAGACTGTGAGCGATTGTATGGCTATGGTAGCTTAGGATCCCTTACTGATGACCTTCCTCTTCAAAGAAGGATTGTCAGCGCGGGAAAAGGGAAAAACAAACTACCCTGGGAGATGTCGGGCTTCTCATCAAGTCAGACGGGCCAGCATTTAAATGGAAAGTGCTCTGAAAAGGTGGGTTCCATCGTTACTGTGTAGACAATATTCTCACTTTTTATATCTTGTGATAATCAAACCACCTGGAAACAGTACCAGATTTAGCATATGATTGCACTGACTCTGATTTCTGTTAAATGAAAACCGTTTTAATTGATATTCTGATATATTGAAGGTTAATTTACCCAGAAAACCGATCGAAATGGTGTTCTTTTGGTTACCATTGATTGACATTAATGAAGCACCTATTGACTTAACAAGCTGAGTTCAGCCTCTCATTCCACTCTTTGAAATCCAAAGCAAGTAGGGCTTAATCAGTCATTTGGTAACTGCCGAAGTACCAAAGTGCTTTTCACATTAACTTTGAAAATACAGAGAATTTCAGCGACCAGGCAGTTATGTTTGTTTTATCCCAATCAGTCAACAAGTACAGCCATCACAAAGAGCATGGGAGGAGTAGATATTTTCTGTGCATGCTTTTTCTTTTTTGCTCAGTGTACAGAGGAACGATGAAGCTAATCCACGGTAAAAATAAATCTCCAGAAGACGGGGCTTTTGAGCGATTGTTTACTGTCAGAGTTGCACACTTGTTTTTTGAACAAGCTGCGTCACATCCATAAACCACAATCCAAAAATAAACCTTAGAGGTGCCAATCTTCTCACAGAGAGTTTGGGGAGAAAAACCTGAATTTAGTTAATACCCTCATGATGCAGTATGGATTGGGTGCAGCAGAAATATAGTTATATATTTCTACAATGAGCTCTGCAGCTTTCACTCCAATCAACCTCTGCTTGTTTCCATGATTGCATATTCTCTAGACGGCTTATTATTCTCGATCAGAGGTTTTTCGGTTTTAAATGATTATGAATAAGTCTGTATCTGTTGGCAGTGTCACAATAGGTTATATGGTATTTTTTAATATATGGCTCTCAAATCATTATGAACCGAGGGAGGTACAATCTCACTGAGACTATTCTTGGAAGTGATACAATGGGTGACTCATTTTCCTGCAATGTGACACTGCTGCTGCCAAGAGGATGATCGAACATCTTGAGAAAAAAATCGAGGTTATTCTACCACTTTAATGTTAAATATGTATTATTTGTATTGGCTAACAAACTAGAATGATTTTTGAAACACACTCCATTATTCTAATACCGTCTATTGGTTTAGTTGAGTGGCTTTGTTGCATTAATTGACCATATTTTGTTCTGGAAACGATTATCCAGCTCAGAGCCTCTATCTGAAAAACCTTATGTTTACAGGAGTGTCTGTTTCCCAGCAACCCCATTACCACACAACACACTTACTGAAGGGGGTTTGAAACATAATCGGTAATATCACAGGGTTATGCTTGTAGAACATGGCTTGTTTGCTGCTCTAGTGTTGATTGCAATCACACTAAGTGCTGCACAATGCTGATCAGGTTTTAGGCAGTGGGAATAACCACACTGTGTCTGAGGCTGATGTAAAATCTGTCATCCTTCTATCTCTACTTGATTTGTTCATCTCTGACTGATTTCAAGGGTCGGCAGATAGAGTTTCACGAGAGGCTTCATGTATATTTAGTTAAGTCTGTTTACAGTAGCCTGGGCTCCAACTAAATGCCAGTGTCTCTTGTCTGAGCTCGACAGTATATGCTGCATCCCTTTGTTCAGGCAAGTGGATGGAATTACACTTAGACTCCTGTTTGTTTAAGAATAGCTTTCCTTTAGTTATTTGAACTTCATCCTCTATTGTTGGATAATGCTGTTCTGTCTACTGTCTAGGTGGCCAGTGAGGATTTCCTTCCCCTGTCTAGAAAGCTGAGTCCAGAGACCTACGTTCCCAGTTTCAGTAAGTACAAATACACCTACCATTACTCACATGCATTCCTCATGAGTTGAAAAGTCATGGTCAACTGCAGCTGAACTTTAAATCGGTCTTTAAATTGGATTAGAGTGCTGAGTCAGGGAGTCACTGGGCCACTTGTTACCACATGCCTTGAGATGAGCACGGTTGCTAGGCCAGAAAAGTCCAATATATTCACCAAGTGTATAGTCTTTTTAGCCTGATGAACACAAGGTATCCTAACTGGAAAAAAATTGATAATTTTCCTGTAAAATGTTCACGGTCAGATGCACTGAATGCTCTCAATGTAATAACAGTTTTAGACCGTGTTGCAGTATTGCTTAAGTAAGAATCACCCACTAAATATCACTCATGTTGTAAAAGTAGGCCTACTCTGTGGGATTTATACTCTGGGTGAATTTCAGAGCCAAGAAGCTTTTGCAATTAGCCGATTGCAATAGAAAGTCCAGCCTAGAAAATCTGTGGTGTTACAGCTGCGCTCACTATAGAAAGGTTGTAGATTTATAGCAGGCTGTTCTTGACGTCAAGTTCATATCTGCACTTGAGAACTTTTCAAGAAAAGTTCTGGAACATATTTTTTACTTATTCGATTTAAAAATGTGTTCAGTTATAGTCACGCAGGGCCATTAAATCATTAAATTGTGTCTCAAATAAGATGCGGAAATGTGAAATTCTTCCCCATGGTACCACCAGAATATGAATTCCTCTACTCATTGCAAAGTAAATTACTGAGGCAAAAATGAAACTATTGGAGTATAATAACACATTGCCTTATAGTATAACCTTATGTAGTGAAGTGATTTCCCAAAACATATATAATTTACTTTAATGTATCATACAACTTTGAAGCAGACTATACATGAGCAGTGTAACCTTTAGAAGTGAAGTTAGTGTTGTTAACAGTATTTGCGTATGGTGCGACCCTGTCAGGTTTGTAGCATGAAAGACAAAATCTACTTTCCATTTAGGTCCTGCACAGCCTCCAAAGCCGCAATCCCCCAGGAGGAAAGAGTCCCCTGCACGCCTCAGAAGAAGTGGAAGCCTCAACTTGGATACTGACATCTATAAAAACAGCAACTTCTCTGACCAGGATGTTGGTAAGGACTCGTTACCTTAGACTGATCTGCTTGGGTTAAAAGATGTCCAACCCTTTAAAATTCCCTTTTAATGCGTTGTGTTAAACATCCCACCAGTATTGAATCATTTTGTACCTTGTATCTGTTCCTGATGTGTGAATCCTCCTCTGTCTCACAGTGGCACCAAAGGGGCGCATGCTCTCGAGGAACCCCAGTGTTGAGCGCACGTTCTCCCTCCCCGCGAACCCCACCACATCTGGATCCTTTCTCCTGCCCTCCTACCCGCTGGCGACACTCCCCGGAGGCATGCTTACTCCGTCACTATCCCGCCGCCACGCAGACTCCTCCCTCTCTATGTCCAACACATGGCCCAATAAGAGAGAGAACTCCCCTCAGCAGCGAGACGGCAGCCCCTGGAGAGACACAGCCAGCACAGCGAAGGGTAATTAATCCTTATTTTTTTTAACTAAGTTGACGTGAGATGTGTCAGCTGAATGTTAAAATGTTGTTACCTCTTTGTATCATCTGTTTTTTCTCCTCCCTGCCCCTCTAGGAGAACCTCTCTCTAGCAGATGCTCTCCCCGGCCTCTGCGTGCCTCCCTCATGAGTTCTTCTTCCACTTCGTCGTTTCGCCGGGCTCTAAGCAGCACCAGGGCAACCCTTTCTATCTCTCCTGTTGTACCAACAGCAGAGCAGGTACACTCCAATAATGGCCAGAGGCACAATGCTACAGGAAGCCCTCAGAATCAGCAGGTAGAAAAGGACCTTCATGTTGACCCTGATGCTCAAGAGGATGACCCTCTGGACATGCAGGAGGTCGGTGAACACACAATACACACTTAAAGAGACACACAGTGTGCTAGTGCAGGAGTTAATGAAATTCCTCAGTGCTCATATCTGCCAATTTGTGTGTTTTGATCACAGATGCTGAACTCCCTGCGCTCTTTGCGCAACAGCGCAGCAAAGAAGAGGGCCAAAGTGAGCCTGAGCAGTTCAGATCCAGACAGCCCTGACTCCGCTGTGAGGCTGGACCTGGGCCTGGACTCGCCATCACACACATCTCCAATGCTAACCAGCTCAACCTGTGAGAGTGGACTTTCCAGTCTGAGCTCAGTCGCCAACTCCAGCTTCAATGGCAGCAAAGCCAGGTAAAGAAATAGCGCAGAAATATTAGCAGGCATTTCTCAGAAACAGTTACACGTTATAATGTAGCAGTGATAACCTGATACCCATTTGGGGTTGTTTATCAATCAAATCAAAGTTTATTTATAAAGTTTATTTATAAAGCACATTTAAAAGCGATTTTTGGTCGGGGCAAAGTGCTGTACATGTAATAAATACTACAATCACATAAAAACACATTACTACAATCACAATAAAAGACAATAAATTACAACAGATATATAAAAAACACAGGGAAAAGTCAGGAGTCGTGCTCCGCTCTGACTAAAAGGCCAGGGAGAAGAAGTGTAGATTTAAAAACCCCTAGAGTCTGGGCCAACCTCACATGGAGGGGCAGAGTGTTCCAGAGCCTAGGGCCAGTTGCTGCGAAGGCTCGGTGCCCTCAGGTTTTGAGCCTGGTCTTGGGCACTACCAGCAGCAGCTGGTCAGCAGACCTTAAAGCTCTGGCTGGGGTGTAGCTCTGGAGGAGTTCAGCTATATAGGCCGGAGCCAGCCTATTTAGTGCTTTAAAAACAAATAAAAGGAGTTTAAAATCAATTTGGAACCGAATTGGAAGCCAGTGCAGTGAGGCCAGAATTGGGGTGATGTGGTCACGCTTTTTGTGGCCAGTGAAAAGACGCGCAGCTGCGTTCTGCACTAGCTGCAGGCGCTTAATTGACGCCTGTTCCTTACCCACGTACAGAGCGTTGCAGTAGTCCAACCTCGAGGTAACAAAGGCGTTAATAACCCTTTCCAGGTCTTAAATGTATTGCACATTGCTAAGGAGCTTTCGAGCATAATTTCTCCCTTGTCATATCTGTCAACAGTTCAGGAAACTCTGCCTCTTCAGGAATGAAGCCTCGCATTGCAAGAGTGCCTTCTGCGAAACTGAGGTCTTCTGTTTCCATGGACTTCAGCAGCCTTGAAGGTATACATGGAAAAACATGGCTTTGCTCAATAAAAAATGTTGTTTCGTTAACCTTTTTTAAGTCTCTGTATCTTTTTGTTTTGTTCTTATGAAGGATTATCTCAGACAAACGAACTGTCCTCCGAGGTGGGTGTTGTTGGGCAGAGAGTCACTTACTCCAACGGATCAATCAAAACTGAGGAAGACTCAACAGGACCCGCCCCTCCTTTGGTCAAACAGGACTCCCGGCAATCAGTCAGAGCTCTGAAGCCTGCCAAAGGTCAGACAGCTGTGATATCAAAAAGAACAGAGGGTTGTTTCGCAAGATTCACCTGGTAAAAATGTTATATGTGCCTTATAATAAAAACATCAATGAGTATTCCTCTTCTTTGAATCTTAGGATCTCAGAGCAACATCAGCAGGAACTCACTAGCTACGGATCTGCCTGAAGGAGTCATTGGAAGAGGTCAGTCTGTGCAGATCCTGATTTGTGCCCATATGTCATCAATCAGTTGTCCAATATTATGTTGCTGAAAGGTTTCTAGCTGAGTTTTAACATATTGAGATTTAAGTGATTTGTTCCCCAAAGCCATGCCTCAGTTATGTAGGAGCATAACCAACGTATTTTAAGTGGGCATTAGGCTTCATTCATTGGCAGTACAATAACCTGTAGATAGGACTCAACAGGCACACGCTTTCAATTTACGAGGAGAATTAGATTCTCATTATTAAGTATTACATGGATCAGACTTTTCTTCGGGCCTTTCTCAAAACCAATTTAAGAAAAGACAAAAAAACTATTGGTGAATGAGCCCCTTTGTTTTCCCATAATCAGACCACTTTTGAAAAATTCTGATTACATCTTATTACGGGTTCTTCAAGCAGTTGAGAAGGTCTCAATAACACATTTAAGTTCCCTGCAAACATCTTCATCATTCTTTGTCTCAGGCGTGTTCGGCACTGCAGTGTCCTCGGGCCGTCCAGGAGTCCCCTCGTCACTGGAGCAGGGTGATTTTGTAGCAAAACCCCCCCCTGACCTCTCAGCTGGCCTCTACAGCCAGGCTCTGTCTGGCAGCCGCCTGGACTGTGTTGACAGCCCCCGTCCAGATGAGGCTAAGGTTAGTCACACCTTTTCCAGTGCTAAAATAGTAGTACATCCTACCAAGTTTCCAGTTACCACCTGCTTTGTTTTGTTTCCAAGCAGAGGGTGAAGAACGCGAGGTTCCACCGGGATAAGATGCGGCGGCAGGGTCTGGATCAGCAGGAGGGGCAGTGCAGTCAAGCGGACGTCTCTCGAGACACCATCCGCCACCGAGTCAGGCAGATGCTGTCGGACTCGCCCACAGAGGAGAATAGAGAGTTAATCATCAAAGGCAAGAGAAGAAATATTTGGAAACCTTAACCAAGTGCTTTTATTTTTGCTTTAATTTAGCCTCTTTATAATTCGAATTTTAGTCAGAATTTAGAATCTCACTTGGAGCAATTATAAATGTTTAACACAGCCCATTATAAGGTATACCTTTTTTGTTGGATAAGGTTTACGCAGATGCTGAAAACCTTGAGAATACTTGTATTATAATGTAGGGATTTAAAGGTTTTAGAGAAAGTGCTTAAACATTTTAATTGTATATTGAGAGGGTCAGTACAACACCACAACTAAATATAACCTCAATGGTAGACATATAATTGAATTTAGCACTTATATTATAGTGTCAAAACACAGGTTTCATTATTATAAAAGCTAACTTTGTGTAAAAACATTTGTATTGGAATTAATATTTATCTAAATGCTTCTTTTAAAATACTGGAGAAGTGAGTGAATCTTTGTAAAGGAGGTAGGAACCCGGCATATTGAGCTTCCTAAGTAGATCTTGCTTTAATGTATTTGTATTGTATCCTCATGTACTTAAGATCAATCATCCATCTATGAAGCTCATTAGGTTTTTGTTTTTGTTGTAGATCTGCATCTGAACGGCAGCACACTGGCATCCACCAAAGCTGAGCATCTCTCCGATGAGTCCCCTATCAGCCCCACCAGCCCACTGGGACCCCAAAGCCCCAGCAAGTGCTTGACTCCTCCGCACCAGCCAAGCCCCCCCACAGTGCCCCCCAACTCCAAAAATCAGTCCCGTCTAAGGAGGGCCCCTAGCCTCAGCAGAACCCGACCATCACTTTCCCACAGCTCCGGTAAGTGCTTCTCTGTTTTTTAAATAACAAAAAATGTCACTGCACCTTTTTATCATGTTGCGATCCCTCACTCGGTCTGAAACTGGCCTGCTTTCAGCATCATTCCACCCCATTACAAATAGATGAACCAGTGCTTCAACAGGCCTTTGTTTATGGAAATTATATGCTGGCACATTAATTAGACTGTCAGAGTGCTGGTGAATAAGATGTTTGCTTTGGGTAATGTTCCACAATGCTCTGTTTTGACAACCTACTGTTAATGCACCGCCACCCACACACGCGCTGCTTGTTTTCACACTGATAGAGATGTAACATGAGAATAAATCTATGTGTTGTGTGCTGCCTGACGGTTCATTTAGACGAGCTCTCCCCTGGTACTCCGGGACACAAGAAAACCCTCTCTGAGCTTCCTGAGCTGTGTCCTTTCTCCAAGCCTGACCTGGCACTGACGCAGAGCTTTAACCTGCTGAGCTCCGAGGACTGGTGAGAAACACTCACATGCTACAGAGTCTCAGCTGCACTGCTCTGGGAATAGAAGTTACAATCCTTTATGCTGATAACTCTAATCCAGGATAAAGGTTTATAAGATATAGAATAGCATGAACCTTTGATTTTGCATGCATTGATTAGATAAATAATTGATTTAATAGAAAAATATGAAATGTCATGTCAGTAAAATACCTTTTTAATTAAAGAGACATCGCTAGTCAACATATATTATACGGGAACGACATTTAGAAACTTTGTCAACAAAATGTCTCCCAAAAAAATTGTCTTCTAAATGATCCTTTTTCTTTTTCTTCAGGGAGAAGAAGATCGAGGGTCTGACGTTCCTGCGCAGTCTGGCTCACTACCACTCAGACACACTCCAGGGCAGGCTTCATGACGTCTGCCTGGTTCTCATTCAAGAGGTAGATTAACTTGTTGTATAGCGCTCCCACATCAATTTTTCATTTTGCCTTCTGAACTTGAAATGCCTCACCCCTGATTCATATCGATATCCCATTTTGATATCTGTGTCTTAGTAGTGTCTTGATATCCTGGCTGACCGCCTGGAATGACTCTGTTTCCTGTTAGGTATTTATAATGACAATCTCATTTAGGTAAAGAACCTGCGGTCAAGCGTCTCCAAGGTCGCAGTGTGTACGCTGTGCGACATGTACAGCCACCTGCAGAAGGCCATGGACCAGGAGCTGGATGGCACAGTCAAGGCTTTGCTGCTGAAGGCCGGGGAGAGTAACGCCTTCATCAGGCAGGATGTGGATGCAGCACTGGACTGCATGGTTCAGCACTGCACACCAACTCGAGGAATTAATGCTTTGCTCTCTGGGGGTCTCAGGTCAGTAGTTATCTCTACATAAATAGAGTTGAGAAATTCTGTGGTACCGTTGCACTATTTTTAACACCCAATAAAACATTTCTATCTTTGATTGCTGAATGGTTTTCTCCTCTTCTGACAGTAATCTCAACCCAGTGGTGAGAAAATGCACGGCCCAGCACCTGGCTAATCTGATGGAGAAGGTCGGTGCCGCCCGCCTCCTGTCCGGAGGTAAAGATCTCACTGATAGAATCTTACCTGCCGTCACCAAACTCGCACAAGACTCCTCACAGGAACCCAGGTACGCCAATTTGTTGCTTTAGAGTTAGGTTTTTGCAAATGGGACTACTGGGCCTCATTCATGTGCACACATACTTTCTTTTTTTGAGAACTAACATGTACATATGACAGAGACTTTTGATATTCAATTATTGTGAGTTTTCACTATCATATTGGTTTAACAAACAGGTATTTTGGGCGTCGAATGCTGCTGTCACTGTCCTCCCACCCTGACTTTGACAAGATCCTGGAGAAATATATCCCCACCAAAGACCTGCCGGCAGTCCGAGAGACCGTCTTCACTCTCAAGACAAAGGTACGACTTTTTGTTGTGTTTTTATTAACCTTTATTGCTAGGTAATTCACTTCAGAAACACTTTTTGTTATATTCCATGGAATGCTCTTAACATCCCGATAGCAATGAATACATGAAATGCTTTGACAATAAATACATAAAAAAATGTCATCTGTGGAAGCAGTGGTGCTGTAAAAAGCACGACCAATCATCAACTTATCTCGTGCCCTCATTGGTCATAGCGCGTTCGTGTGTGTTGGAGGAGGGGCTCTGTAAGGAAGTCTGAAGGAAGGGGCAGATTTTTTCGGCTGCGTACTTTCAAATTCTAGCGCACTCGAGCTGGTTTCTCCATTCTTACCTACCCTACCTTTTTAAGGTTACACCGCAATCTTACCTGGAGATTGTTTTTGTTTTTCTTAGGGTCTTGGTGAGATTCCTCAAGACTCCCAGTCAGCGAGGGGTAGACGCTCCCTCCCAGGCAGCGGGACAGTCAGGGCCTCGTCTCTCACCAGAGAGCCGCTCCAGCAGACCAACAGGTGGGTGGAAAATCAAACAGGACAACAGCACTGTACAGCCCAAATTCAGCAGAAGTTTAGACTTTACAACCCATATAGGAAGTACTTTATTCAAGCTTAACTCGTAGGTTTATTCAAGTGATCCATTTGATGTATTTTGAATTATCCACAGGGAGGCGAACACCCATAACAGCTGCAGATCTCAGACTCAGAGTATTGCAGACAAGACAGAATACATCAAGCAGATCTCAGGTCTGCTCGGTTCAAAGGACTTCAGAGAGAGGATCAAGGGAATCGACCAGTTAGCGGCTGACTGCCAGCACAACCCCAACATGGTCATCAAAAGTATATACCCGGTCAGTGCTTTTCCAAATCCTATAAATATTTCCTCATCATGGTTCTCAGTTACCATCAGGCTGTGTTTATATTGAAAAATCTAAAAGAATTCTCTTCTTAACTTCTTCTTTCAGTTGTTTGATGCTTTCAAGGCCCGGCTGCAGGAGTCCAACAGCAAGGTCAACCTGTACGCCCTGGAGTCCCTACAGAAAATCTCCCACTTGATGAAGGACAACCTGTCCCAAGTGGTCAACATCCTGGTCCCAGCAATCGTGGACAATCACCTCAACTCCAAGAACAACGCCATTTACTCTGCTGCTATTGGAGCTATTAATGCACTTATCCTAAATCTCGGTACTCATTTTGAGCATTCAAATATTTCTTGTAGAAGTCAAATCAGAGGCTCAGTCTTTTTGGAGAACATGTCTTTATTTGACTTTCTTTTGTTTCCATGACAGATAAAAGTCTTCTTCTTCAGCCCTTTTGCACAAAAGCCCAGTTTCTAAACGGCAAAGCGAAGGTGGATATGATTGAAAAAGTTGCAGGTAGGTTTGATGGGAAAAGTCTGAACACTGTTATTAGTTTCACCTTTGGCTTCTAAATCGGTTTGTTTTTCTCACCACCTATTGTTCCTTCTCACTTTTTATTTCCAGAACTTGTGACGGAGCTCTATCCTCGCAAGCCCCAGATGGTGGAGCAGAAGGTGGTCCCTCTGCTGTGGCACCTCCTGGGCACCTCCACCCACAGTGGCACCATTCATGGCCGGGGCGGCAGCGTGAGGGGTGCGACCGCAAACCTGTGCCAAGCCCTTCACGCCCACATGGGGTCCAGCCTGACGGAGTGTGCTGCCTCCCAGCCTGCCAATGTCCATAAAGGTTTGAACGAGATCCTGAGGAACGTATCCTAAAGGTAAAACAGAACCCAAGCACGCCCTAATGTTTGAAGAGAAGAACATTAACACTGACCTTACTTGAAGACAGAGATGTTCTACATTTCTTAATAGTGCCTGCACTTTTATATCAATAAAGAGAAAGTCCTTTTAAAAGAAGGAGCTCTTAATGTTGTCTCAGTGAGATTTCCTCTGGTACGGAAGCATGGTAACATACAGACTTCAGGTCTGACACATACTCAACCTGCTCTCTTTGCACTTTGAAAAGGTAGCTCATTATCATGATGGACTTCATGAGTTTTACATTTAAATTATATGATTGTCATTGCTTTTTTCTTTTCATAATCTAAACATGTACTGTAGACAAATCAGAGACACTATTACAGAATTTAAGATTGAAATGCACAAAGACAGGGACCTGAAAGATGTATATATTTTGCTGTTTCCTCAAATGTCATATTTTGAAAATGTCTTATGTAGTGGTTGTATTGTTTGTGAATTGAGATTAACAAGAATAGTACAAAATACTTTTGTACAGTTCAAATGTGTATTTGCACAGTATTAGCTTAATCTGTAATCGTATGCTGTTTAATGGTACAGTTTATAATGTATCTATAGTGTAATGGTTTCAAAAGTCTTGTTAATGATGCTCTGAGTTGGTACCGTCTGTCTTTTTGTTTTGCATGACCAAAATGTACTGGCAAGATCAAAATGTTTTATTTTTGTTAAGGAAATATACATATATCATGTATGTATGTATATATGAACACTGATGCCTAGATCGAAATGGAACCAATTCTCCTGGACGGGGTGAGAGGAAGAGGAGCTGAGTTTTGCTCCTGCGTTTGCCTGAGAAACAGTGAAGGCTCAGATCTGATTCTGTCTCAGTATAGTGCCAGTCTTCAAGTAGCCTTTTAACTCTTCAAATTGTTAAATTATATTGAACTTGTTTGTGAACAAGAGCAAAGACAGATTGATATATAAATAAAGTGTTTTATTTCTGTAAAACCAACTTCCAGGTGTCTCATTCATGTCTTAATGTGATCGGGAAATGGGTTCTTTGACCACATCTGTAAAGCGATAACATTTTGCATTACATTTCATCCAAGAAACCAGAGTGTTGTGCCTTTTTAAGTTAAATGCCTTTTATTAATGGGAAGTTATTGAATACAAAGGAGATTCTTCAGAAGTCTTGTTGTTCTGCCAAATTCACATGTAGAGCTAATAGTGATGCGTCTCTCTTGATGTAAAGAAATGTATAGTCTGTAGAGGTCATCCAGGCATTAGAACAAATGAGGGCCTAGAAAGCAGTATAGGCACATTTTCTATAACCAAATCACCACTGCTTTGAGATGCTCTGTGGTTTAAGATTGATCACTTTAATTAGCTTGTCAGGGTTTAAATATTATGGACCAAGTACATCGCTGCCAAATGTTTGAATTAAATAAGCTGCAAATCTAAACCGTGAACTATAAAAGTAGCTGCCATTTAATTGGACTGTACAGAGATGTATGCCCTTCAGTAGCAGTCGACTAGCTCATTCAGAAAAACAAAGCCAGAAGGCAACCCTGATAAATCCTCCAGCTCACTTCTTCTTACCAATCAGTGTCAACATGTATAGTAGCTAGTCATTATGCAAAACATATCAACGATTTCACATGAAAGTTTATCAAACATACATTTTGTATCCTCTCACAAAGTCCCTTTTTAAAATGTGATGTATCAAAGTCACACCTCCAGTTGGTCCAGTATTAAAAGCAAAGCCCTACAAATGAGGGAGTATATTCAGAATAACAGCAAACTCCCTTTTAAAGTTCTAAGCTAACCACAGTGGTGTTGTCGACATGTGACTAAATATGTGTGCTACTCAAGTATGGCTTCGCTAACAGAGATGCATACTTATACAATTATGCGAAAAACAAGGCATACAATGACATCAGCACAACTTCCTAAACTATCATGAAGTGTGCTTTTTATGAACTTTTCTTTGATTTGTTCCCAAATGATGTACCTGGAGCCAAGTTAGCTGATGCCAAGAACACGCTGAAAACATTTGTTATCTAACACAACTGTTCAGTAAAAACTTCCGGCCATTTATTGTGCCATGAATGAGGGTTTATGGTTTTGGTTGAGTGTTTGAATAATGCTCTGCTGCTTTGAGTCCTTATATCGTTCCCTCTGCTTCACCGACCAAATACAAAATAATATCGCCTCCTCCTCTTGTTGATCTTTCCGTTCCGTTACTAAGGCAGCTGGATCAATGCCATGGCAACATGGGCTAGCTAGATGTTGGGAGAAGATGAGTGTGTGTGGTCGCCATCCTCCACACCTCACTTTGTCAGGGACCAGATGTCTTGGGCAGATCCTGGTTCTCAGCCAGGTGGAGCTTTTGTCTGAACGCGGTCACATTAAGGATTCACACATTTGATTTACAAACACATTTAAATCTAGTGTCTAGAGCCATGGGTAATTCCTTAAAATAATATCAGATTATGAAAGGATACATTGAGGTGCTGAGCTCCTCCAGCTGCAGGAACAGATAAACAAATGGGTAGAAAAAAGTAGAACATGATGTTATACACTAATCAATAACTGTGTGTGAGTCAGGTCAATATTTGATTCAAGCTCCCAGCATCCGACTACAATGTTTACAAAAGCAACTAGTCAACATCCCTTGGTGTCCACACAAATGGAAAGCTGCTTCACAGCCCATCTGCTCTGAGACACAATCATCCCCCTGGCAGCAGTGTCTGTAATGAGCTGAAGGTTCTCTCTCATCTCCCTCACACATATCACTGCAGCTTCCCCTCAGAGAGCCCCAGGCGCCTGTAACTAGGAGCCACACAACAAGCTAACAATAGAAACTCTCAAAGTATTCTTGGGCTACACATCCCTGTTTGTGCTGGGTAGTATTCAACATTTAAAACGTGCTAGAAACTCAGCGGAGCGAACAACAATCCTAACACTGCTGTATGACTCGTCTCAGACAGCACATCTGTTTTATTGGAAGGTTCACAGCTAAAAGGAAAATAGGTTATGTGCATACAGTATACTCTTATCTCACATGCTTGACATATTAACACTGCAGATGTAAGTGCTGTACTATTCTGACCCTTGAGGCTTTTAAATGGGCCTTATTATGCTCATGTTCAGGTTAATATTTGTATTGTGTACCTCTACTGTGACATTCGACTAGTCGACTAGTCGACTACCTTTACCACTAGTCGGCGCTGTAGGCCCTAGTCAACTAGTCGTGAAAAAAATTTAGGTAAACGAGGTGCTGCAAAATGCTCCAAAACACGTCCGAGATTCTTATGTATGGCAGTACTTCAACGAAGATGTAACCAACTCCACAGTGAAGTGTCAGTTGTGTACAGCTGTACTGAAGTACAATACAAATGCATCTGCTATGCGCAACCATCTGAAGATGAGACACCCGCTGCCGACAGCTAGCACTAGCAGTAATGCTAGCACCAGTGAGCAACGGACCGGCGTCAGCAATGAACAGAGGCAAACGAACAGCAAGAAAACATGGATCAACAGTGATGCGGATGATGAGCTACGGGATTACTGCCAGCGGACACCGCATATCCCCACAATGGATAATCCACTGGAGTGGTGGGCAGAAAACGTGCACCGCTTCCCCCGCTTTCGAGGAGCTACCTGGCTATTCCAGCCACAAGCACCCCGAGTGAGAGGGTTTTTTCCCTGGCAGGCAACACTGTCACCCGAAAGCGGTCAAGCCTCCTTCCCTCACATGTCGATGCGTTGGTGTTCAAACCAAAAATATGGAAAGGTGGACGTTATCGTGGAGGACAGCGAATAAAGTGTTGCGCACTGGATTTACGTGGCATTTATGTAAACAAGAGTTTTTTGCTGTCGATTTTGGTGAGTCCAGTGTTTGTTATTTACTCAGCCATGTAACACAAATTAAAATGCAGTGTTTAATGTTACTGTATGAGTTCCAATATAAAATACAGTTGTACACCTCTCTTTGTGTGTCTTTATTATGACGTAACGACTAGTCGACTACTATTTTGAAAAACGTGTCGACTAGTAAATATTGGTAGTTGTGAAACCCCTAATTCACATGGTTCAATGTTCAAAAAGGTCTTTATTTATGTCATTCACCCTCTGTCTGAAACCAGAGTCCAGTCTGATCTGATTGGTTAGCTGGCCTGCCCTGTTGTGATTGATCAACCTCTTAAAGATGTCCCGCCCCTTAGCCTATTATATACAATGCGTTGGAGCTTTAGCCAATAGAAGCGCGACCACCATGTGTTACTCAGTGATGTCACTATATCTTATAACTTTGGGATTTTAGCCCTTGCTGACCATTTACATGCACTAAAACCTATAAAACACACTACAGGACAGGGAACACACCACAAAGCATAATAGGGCCCCTTAGAAATAGAAATAAGACCTTTGGTAGAACTATAATGGAGGTTTACGGAATAGCATAGTTACTAAATCAACCTAATGGAGGGTTTTATTCTCATTATAAGTGTCTCACAGGTGAAATAATTGTTGTTGCGTTATGTGAAGGTATTTACCTCCAGAGCCTCAGGCTTAAAAAGAAGAGTGAAACCAACTAAACTAGACTTTCAGTGGAGAGGTAAAGAGCCATTTGACTGTTTCATCGGCTGACCACAATAGCAGAAACAATAATACAATGAAAAGGTATTTCTTGCAATTTAATAGGCAGTTTTTGCACAAAAGAACAATTTTAAGAGAAAGAATACTCTAAAATTCATATAGGGTTTATGACCAGGTGAAAGTGAGATTATGTGCACTGTCCCCTTATCATGACCTTTGTGCTGCTGTGGGTTGTGCTTACGTTACAGAGCAGGTGCTCCAGGTTGTGGTCGGAGGCACACTTCCTCTGGTCCTCTGAAAGCTCCTCCACGTGGCTGTCCAGGCTGAAGTGAAGGCGGGCCAGCTTCTCCTGCATCTCACGCACATGCTCCAGCTGCTCAAAAGAGCACACCTTGCCTAGCAAACCAAACAAGTACAACTTGTAAAACAAAGCCACTTTTCAACTGGTTTTATTTCAGCCTGTAACCGGATATTCCCATGGTGGCCTCTACTATCGAGGTTATCTTACCGAAAGCCTGTAGTTTGCCTGAGTGGAAGTCATTGAGGAGATTGAGGAGGCCTCCCTCCATCTCTCTCACATCTGAGACATCTGTGAGAAAGGAGTGCTGCAGGGGGGAGGACTGGACTACTTTACTGGGCCCTGCAGGCTGGGGTGCCCTTGGCTTCTCCTTGTGGGGCCTGAAGAAAACAAATGTGTTGTTACAAAACAGTATTCAAAATACAATCCAGCCTTCAATCGTCTAATCATGCACATACAGTATGAAGTATAAGTACTCATGTTTCCTTTTATATACACTTTTATTATTATGCTCAGATGTAGCTGTGGTGAAAATCGTGCACACTGTATGTGATCTGACATTATCTAACTAACCAGTTATCTGTTTTAAAATTAAAGAGTTGGTCGGACGTAAAAGTAAAGGAACATTAACAGCAATTGTTTATAAATCATAGTGTTTTCTGTAGAATTGTTCTGATATTCTAAGAGACAAACCTGGTGATCTTTGGTGGGGCTACGACGACTGTGAACACCTCCTTGGGCTGTCCTGACGCTCCTATGGATCTCTTGTACTTGCCTCTGTTCTTGGGGGAGGGGGGCTGCGGCAGGCCGAGGGAGAAGGTGGCACTTTTGCTTGCAGGCAGGACGGGGAGTTTGCGAGGGTTGATGGGGGGAGGAGGCGGCTGGGGAAGAGACACCTTTGGGCTCCGCTTCTTGCGCTTGTCTTCCATTATTGTTTATCTTTTAAGTTTCCTGCTGCAGTATGAGGAGGGGGGTGCACTGCCTGGCTGCTGTGCAGGACGTGCGAAAGCAACAAAGGTAGGAAGTTCAAAACCCAGCAGCCTTCCCTCCCTGCCTCTGGAAGATTCTGCCTGTGCCAAAATTAGTGCTGCAGTTCAGGATTCTCCACTCTGCAAAGAAAAGGCGTTTAGTGATGCTTTAACAGCGCAGCATCCCTAGTTTATCACAACTATATATCTGTCAGAAACACATGAAATCCTCAGAGAAACCGTATTAATCCTCCTGCCTTAATGGGATTGCTTTTATATGAAAGTTTTAAAGGAAAGCATTTCTTGCTCTCTATAATGTTTCCCTAGAGTAAAAGGGAGAGAAACAGTAACCTAATAAGATATGTTTAGAGCGCCCTCAAAGTGAAAAGACATGAGAGAATGTGTGAACTCAAGGACACACTCTGCGTTGCTGTTTTGAGGACATTTCCGAAACAAATGAACCAATTATGTGACAACCAAAATTATCATAAATCCAAACACTGCAGAAGCCTTCTTCCTCACTATAGAGAGAATAAAGCACAGACAGGTAACATGATTCCTGAGGGGAGTGTACTATACAAATGGAAATAATGCCTCAGCTTTTAGACAAATGGCTGAAGGAAAAAATCAATATACTGGGTTGTTATTGAGACCCCATTTACACGCAAACGCATACGAAACGCAAACGAACCGAATACGATATCAAAAAAGTCTTCCGTTCACACGGGAGCGCTCGGGAGCGCTGGAGACGCTGTAGTACATATGCCGGGCCTGTAAGTGGCGCTTTACTTTCGCCACAAAATACACCAAAAGCAGCTAAGAAGACCCCCGAGCATGGTTGCCCTTCTGTGTATGCCCCGCGGTGGATTTAGCAACATGTAGTTCATGTAATTCTCCATGTCAACTTGTTGCTGATGGTTGTGGTAGAGGAGCTGTAGATTTTGCACTAACATCGAGGTGCGGAGAGGTGGGGCTATGGCTTCATCGTTATCAGGAAATGATCGTATAGGGCGTACACGCAGAGCCGTTTGGCCCCCCAGAGCGTTCCGTTTGCAGATCTATCCACCTTGGGACCCGTTATCGTTTGCGGGGTCCGTTTCCGCGTTTCCGTTACGGCCTTGTGTGAACGAACGGGCTATACGAAAAAGAAAAGTAGCGGATACAACCGTTTGCGTTTCCGTGTAAAAAGCACCTCAGGTGAGACTTTTCTATTGAAGGATAGTGGAGTATGGCTCATATCCATTTCCACTTACTGAATGACCATTAAAAAAACATATTACAATACAATACATAGAGTAGTAGAGATATGTTAATATAACAAAGAAAATNCCCCCCCTTTAACAGAGCAGGCAGCAACAGCAGCAGAGACGGCGTGACGTGGTGGGAGAGCGTACCGCCACCTAGCCTCGAACTGCCTTTCAGAGCACAGCAAAGCACTACCGCCTGCTCGTCTTCCTCCTCCCCCGCTGCTGCTGCTGCTGCTGCTGCTGCTTTCACCCGTCTCGCAGACAACACAGCAGAGAGCGCAGTGAATGAGGTGGGTGAAAAAGAGGAACATGGAAACAGAGAAAAAGGAGCAAGAGGCGAACAGGGGGAAGGATGTCAACACCAGAGCATGTGAATCATAAAGAAAGAGCGAAAGGAAACGAGCATCAGCACAAAAATAGAAGAAAAGCATAACCAACGGAGAGATGTAAGACATGTTAATCATGCAGAGATTATCTAACCACTGCTGGCTTGATATACAAAACAGGATAAGCAGGGGCAGTTAAAGCACCCAGCTAGCTGTCCAACCACTGGCTCTCTACTCGCTGGCCAAAGGCAGCAGCGTGAAGCCTCGGGGGACAATGCGCCAAGGAAGATGGAGAGACTGCAACACTGGAGCTCCGGCACATGTTCTTCTCACGCACACACACCTAGACACATGCCTGTGGTAGACATCTACGAGTGTCTGTAAGAGGACCACATTCTCCCTTCATTTTGGGCAGCCACATGTGGGTTGGGTTAAAGAAGATTTGACGCACATTGAGGGGAAATAAATGGAGGAAGCAGACGCTGCTTGTGATTGTGATGTGGCTATAGGCACAGCAGGAGCAGTGACCAAAAGGGCAATGCATCACTTTCAAGAACGATTGCTGCCAGAAAGAGATGCGTTTCTAGATTCTAACGGGTGAGTTTATGCTGTTGAGATGCAAATTACCTCAATGCTAAGCTGACAAATGTTTCAGTTGTTATGTGCCGTAGAGGATGTGATGGGTGTGTCTTTATGAAAAGGAAACACTAGTTCTATTTTGGTTGATTCATGCAAGAGAGCCGACAGAAGTCTTTTCAGGGCTTCTGTGCGATCTCACAAACCACTCTTTGTTTCGTTGGGGTCCTTTAAGAGGGTAGTGTGTAACTAAGTAAAAAACTGTGAGACCACACTCGACTTCTGGGTGCTCGCAGCATGCAAACACAGGATCTTTATTCTGTAAGCATTACTCATCTCGATGCCGTTCAAGAGCCAAAGTATGTTGTTTAACTATTAACAAACGTTACTTCGCCTGGAAGAAAGTCCAGTTAAATATTAAGAAAGCAAAAAGTGAGTGTGACTTCGAGGAAACTTTACAGTGAACGGCATGTTGTTGCTTTTTGTTCTAGTCTGCTGGGGAACTAACCCTACAGAATACAGAATTATGTTTATCGTTATAAATGTGCATGGGAAGTTCAACATTTGGATGTTCCTCATCTGTGGGGCCACGAGAGACTGAGGAAGGAAAGAGTCAAGGCAAGAAGGGAAATAGATTTTATGTCGATTCACTTCATGATACTTGGATGAAAAAAATACAAACGGAAAAATAGACGACATTTTTTTTAAATACAAGCACTTGATTTTGTAAAAAAAATATCCTGATAGCAGAGGAGGCAACTGACTTTGATTTAGAACTAAAGACTATGATTATAAAACGATCATGGAAACCTCAACCTACAATAAATGTATTGCATACTACCTTGGGGCAGAGGAAGATATAATCTCTTGGGTTTATACGTCAAATTTGTTAGCATACAGTTACTCTTTTGAGAAGTAACAGAGCAACATAATATATCATTTGGAGTACATTTGGTTGATTGATAAATGTAAGTAAAAAAATTGGCTCTCCTTTTAGCTTTAGTATCAGTGTCCAACTCCTGAGGGAAATATCTGGCTGCTAAATGCTCCAATATTTTCACCAGCTGGTCACTAACATTGTTCACCTGTCGTTTGGTGCAGGGCAGCAATACAGTTATAAGAGCTTTTTATCATCTAATAGCAGCTGCCTGATTAGAGCTGTGGGTGTTAGCCGAAAGAGTGAAAGGGACCAATTCTGGCTTTTGCTAAATCAACTTCATGAACACGGAGGTTGATTCACTGAAGTCTACACATTGATGACAATTAACTGACCTTAGAAATTTACCCTGAATATTTATGTCATGGCTTTGTTGTACATACCTTATTTGTTGTCCATATAATTAAAGTCTAGCCATTTAAATGTGACATGCTGTATCTTGTTGCTCATATATGTCTTCTTCTGTCTCCTAGGCAATCACATGACATGCAACAGTAGAGCAGAATAGCAGCTTACTGCAGGCTTGTCAGACAACATCATTGTATGGGATTGTCATGTGATGAACATACATGGGAAATGAGACCAACTTTTGCCCTTTAAGCAATCCTGCGAATAAATCAGCCTCCAGGGGATGAGGACTTGTCAGAAGACAATCAGCCTTGCAAACGTGACCACTGTGTGAGTGAATCGGTCCTGTTGAAACCATGCAGTGGAGACGGCGGCACTGCTGTACGCATGTCACTAACTTCCTCTATCTCCTCTCACTGTTGGGTCTACTGGTGTTTCTGGTCCACCTGCCTAAAATCACGGGTATGCAGTGGTGGAAGGGTCATCCTGTGGTGTTCGGGGGCGGTGAACTTCATACCACTAAAGCCAAATGGAATATGAGCGCCCCGCATTCAGCGTGGAGGTTCGTCATTGTTCCTCAGCCGACTTTCAAACCCAATGCCAACATGAGCTCCCCTGAGAAGGATGCCGTCTACTCTCCTCAAGGGGACCCAAGTGTTCACAACACTCTGGCAGCCAACACTAGCCAAAGTGTAGAAGAAGATCTTAGTGCCACTATAACCCAAGGACCGTTCACTTATATCATCAACGAGCCAGACAAATGCGCAGACAGCAGACCCGCGCCATTTCTGGTTTTGCTGGTAGCCACGGAGGCTCGGCAGGTGGAGGCAAGAAATGCCATACGACAGACATGGGGGAACGAGAGCGTGGCCCCGGATGTGGGTTTCATCCGGCTCTTTCTGCTGGGGAAAAACGACGGAGAGCTGGGACTTTTACAGCAAAAGATGCTGGAGGCAGAAAGCCGGAGGTATCATGATATCATTCAGCAGGACTTTCTGGATTCCTACAAAAACCTGACCTATAAGACACTGATGGGAATTAACTGGGTTGCTATTCACTGCCCAGAAGCCGGATACGTCATGAAGACGGACAGCGACATGTTCGTCAACACGGAGAACCTCGTTTACAAGCTGCTCAGGCCTGAACAGCAGCTACGGAAGAACTACTTCACGGGAAATAACATGAGAAACTTTGCACCCAACCGGAACAAAGACAGCAAGTGGTACATGCCCCCTGAGTTGTACCCGGGCGACAAGTATCCCACCTTCTGCTCTGGTACTGGATATGTCTTTTCCGGAGACTTGGCCAGGAAAATCTATCACGCTTCGCTAAGAATTCGCCACCTGCAACTGGAGGATGTGTATGTCGGAGTATGTCTGGCCAAGCTCCGGATCGAGCCCACTCCTCCGCCCAATGAGTTCCTGTTCAACCACTGGCGTGTTTCTTACTCAAGCTGCAAGTACAGCCATCTTATAACGTCACATGGGTTCCATCCCAATGAACTGCTGAAATACTGGCATCACTTGCAGATCAACAAACACAACGCTTGCATCAACATATCGAGAGCAGGGAGGACACGCTCCAACAGACTGAACAGAGAGAGACCAGCTCAATAACTTAAGAAAATATAATTAAACACTCTTTGTTTGGATACAATGTCATCTCAGCTTATACTTTTCTTACCTTGAGATCAAGGGATGAATCCACACATGAACCATATGGTGACTCCAAATTCTGCATTCATGTTGTGTAAGAACACAAATTCTCAAAAAAAAAAAATCACCAATTTTGTACTAAAGATGGAAAATGTTTATATGTCAAACCACTGGAGGGTTAATGTACAGCGGTATATTTTACAATGGGATAAGATGTGTCACTGTGGTGCAAAGGCTACTGTTTTTCCATAATGTGTGTGTGTGTGTGTGTGTTTTATAGATGCTGCTTTACAGATAGAGACTGTTCAAAAACTAAGAGTGGACATGGCCAGTGCAAATAAACGATTCCACATGTGTATCACATACTCTAAGTTATTTCAGTAGAGGGAAAAGATGACGCAAGCTACTAGATATTGAGATTGTTGCACACTGACAACAACTGGTAGACAGTTGTTTTATAAATCCATCGGCCAAAACGTAATGCAATAATATATATTCCAGGAAATAACATTTGAGAAAGTAAATTTGAAGTCATATGTAGCACAAAAGTTCCACAGACTACTACTCATTACTTTTTTACCTTTTAAAACATGTTTGTTTAACTTCATTTAGCTACTAGGGGTGTAAAGGTACACTTACCCGTACCGAAATTATTCGGTACGGGCCCTTCGGTTCGGTACACGTGTGTACCGAACGAATATAACGTTAAACGTAAAAAATTGAGAACGTGAACAACTTTTTGGAAGTAATCTCAGGTGCTGCGTCGCAGCATTCAGAGTCATTTGCTCACATTGGGTTCAACGCGTCATAGAGCGAGCAAGTCATTTCATTGGACGAGAGGCATACTATGAGAGCTGGGGCCTCATTTATAAAAGGGATATACGCTAAAAAAAAATGGCGTTCGGCAGTTTCTACACAATGTTTGCGATTTATAAAATACTAACTTGACGGGAAAACGTGCGGTCCTCCATGCAAACTAACCCATGCGTACGCACTAAGCACAAAAACGGGAGAGACGAGAAACTGCGACACCGTTGGCAGAAGGAAGAATGGAGAGAAATATGTGGAAATAATACCATAAATAAAATGTTACCTCTCATTTATCATATATGAAGAATTCATTTTCAAACATTGATTAAAGCCAATCTTAAAATGATTTAACAAACGCCTGTTTGAGACTCCTCAGTGCACACAAAAACATAACTGGGAGAAATAAATAAATACGGATATGTTATTTAAAACAACCTTGAATATGTTGTGTTAATGTTATGAAATGTTTTCTCATAAATGATGCGGTAAGCAGGAGGACAGAATTACGTCTAAACTGATGCCGTTTTGCATTTCTATAGGTTGTAGATACGAGCATGGTTTTATATACTATCATGTTTAATCGTGTTTTATGCCGTCTGCCAAGACTTGATAAGTCGCTCGTAAAACACAGGAGGTATGGAAACTAAGAGCACCATATGTGGTAAATTGTACAGCTGATATAACACAACACATTAGTTGTATTTCCTTTAACTGGTGGATATATAGTTGCTGATCGACAGCTGGGACACAAACCACCAAATACAAAAACATAATTCAGATCCAGTCGTCATGACTCCACTCCGGAGGGATTCCCCGATCATTTCTTACAGTTTCTCATCAAGGGGGGGGGTCTCCTGTCCCCGGTACAAACACACTGCCTGAGGAAGGCTATGTGTATTTTATTTGTCATTAACCTTTTTCGGACAACTTATTTATTTATTCACGGCGCTCGTGAATTGTTTTTACGGACACAGAGGGGTTTTAGGTTGCCATAAGGCTGTTGACGGTCTTATTATAGGCTGCATCCATTGGTTGGTTTTGTGGCACATTTGTAACGCTGTGCCAACTTGGTAGGCAACTGAGCGCACACAGGGTGGAGTGAGGTTGAGCGATGGAGAGAAAGGGAGAGAGAGAGATTGAGCGAGGCAGATGGCGTGTGCAGCGGTTTGCCTGCGCACAGAGCCGGAGTTTGTGAGAGAGCCGGCTTGAGTCAATTTCTCTTCAAAATATAATTGATTGCCAGCCTCCCTTGTCCCTGGCTCAGTTACGTTGGTAACGTAACTGATTTCTTCTAATGTGCCTGCATCTGGCGCTGAGTTGCCATATTCCTTTCATGAACCACTTCCTGATATCCATTGTTGCAGATAAATATACATGATAATAGCCAAACTAACCTAGCAAGAGTAAACTGACAGGCTGCTGTGCCGCATCTCACTCAAAAACCCACACGACTCAACCCAGCGAAAAACCAGTCCTTTCATTCAGAATTTCATAGCAAAATAAAAAAATTATATTAAACTAATCTTTCAACATAGTTTAAAACAAAAATAAATATTAGGACAGAGCCCTACAAATAACAACCATAAACATAATAATAAAAACAATTAAAATGTTGTATTCAGCCCTGATTAAAACTCCCCCCCCCCGTCGACAGGGGGTCGCCAGTCTCTGGCACTGTTATTTTGGGGGTCGCGGGCTGAAAAGTTTGGGAACCCCTGCTCTAGCAGATAGCCTTGATAATAAATGGAGTGGCATTCACATGCAGTGTATCTATGGGATGAGTCACTTTACAACACCATCAGCACTTACCGTCACTGACTTCAGAGTCATGCCGTGGTAGGTGCCCATGGTATCAATTTTGAAACCCTCCGTTTCTATAAAAACAACACAGAAAATGTAGATTACAGACAGAATAACATGGGACATTTAAAAAAAAAAAGAAGCATAACATACAATGATGACACTGAGGAACCATACATGAGGAACATTTGACAAATATCCGATTAAAATGCAATATAAAACGTGAAGGGAAAAAGGGAATTTGCAGAAAATAATTTAAAGATCAAACATAGTTTGATCTTTAAATTATTTTAGTGATTTTCAATATGATAATATTTTATTGTAAAATCAAATATCACATGTAAAAAGCCCCCTCATTTATGTGAAGGACATGAAACGAGAGGAAGTCGACTTCTGTAAACAGGATTGCTGTTACACCTGGTAATCTTTGTTCAATCTTTTTTTTTTCATTCCATTTGTGTTGTCATCCATGTGTAAATTAAGATGGGCAAAGCATGTAGCTAGACCTACACACACACACACACACACACACATTTGTAGAAGATTAAAATGAGCTACAGAAGCAGAAATCAAACTCACCCTCTTTTCCTTTGAATCGCTCTTGATCGTATCTGTTGTAGGCAGCAGGGACAGGCTGCTTGTTCCTTAGGGACGGGTCCTGAATGTATCACACACAAATAATGTGTTACTGTATGTGCCAGTCAGTAGGCCACTACAGGGTCAAAACCGAAGCAATAATTCATAGACTTGCTACTGCTTTAATACCTTAAATAATAACCTTTCAGTTCATTTTGAGCTTTGTTAGGAAATAAATTACACGATCTTTTTCTAAAATAAATAAAGGAATACTTGCTATTGAAACGCATGCCTTATGAGAGAAACGCATCAGAGTACTTTACGTCTATGTCTACACCTTTTGGGTTAGAATATCTGCTGTCATTTGACTGGCAGTAAATACAATTTCTGAGGTCGTCCAAGCATTCTTTCCCGCTTAGCGCCAATTATTTGTTTTGACTGAAAAGGGGGCGGGGCTATACTGTCTTTAAGGAGTGGCTTATTGCTGCTTTCAGCTATATATGGACACATGTCTGGCCATTTAGGCTTTAAACGCCACTGAGCAACTTTCATAGGAATTAATGGTACCCCGCCTCCAACACTGTATTCAGTTATGTTTTACATCCTTGTATATAGTGCATATTTACTGCACACGGTATGTCCTTCTTACCACTTGAGTAGTGTTTGGTGCGGGCCTCTGCTCGGGGGCGCGCCCTTCTTCTCTGGCTTTCACCGACTGAAGGATGGCGAAGATGTTCTTGGAGAAGTTCTGCAGAGGAACAGGAGAGAGAAGGAAGTGCCGAATTCAACCACCTTGCACAAAATAAATGATTTTGAACAGTAAGTGAATTACATCAAGGCTTTTGGGACCAGACATAAGGCTTACACATGAAACTGTCCTTCATTAGAACCATTTGCAACACATCTGGATAGAATGATTTCAACTTGTCTATTACAAAAAAGGAAAAGACTGTGAATACACTGTGATTTAATTATTCAGTCATTAAAAGACCCCTAAATGAATGACCCAAAAACTCTACCAATAAAAGAACCTAATGCAACAAAGGTACAATTGTGTAAAAATAAATATGAAATTGTATTAAAATCAATCAAACTGCAAAATGCTCTTCTTAAAATGATGTGGCACAAGGGATACGTTTTAGATTTGGCCATCTGTGTACAGATTAGATATGGAAAGTGGTTTAAAGGCTGCCGGAATAATTACTGTAAACATATGGCCACTCGACAATATAATGGATTTGATATGAGCATGCCAAAGTCCTTCAGTGATAAAAACTCATCATTTCCCAGCTAACACTCGGGGTGAAAAACATTCTGCTGCTGCCATCTAGTGGTTGGGCTTTCTATTTAGCTACAGACTCAGGGTGTGGTAACCAGTTGGGCTGTCTTATTCCGACACAAATTTGCAGAGAGTTCAGCATGTTTGATAAATAGGGTCGGGGCATTTTTGGATCAGGTATGCACATTTAAGTGTTACAAAGTCTCTCATACACGCACCGCTTGAAGGCACTGCTAAATGGTCGTTATAATGGCAAATTGAATATCTGGTAATGCTTAAAAACATTATATATTTACTAGATATGCACAGATTGGAAATCTCCAGCCAATATTTTCTGTTTCTTGTTTTGTTACTTATTACTCATTTCACCTAGGAAACTAATTGTTTTTATAAAAAAAAGAAGTTAAAACTTTCTCTCAGTTCTTTATCACAGTTACTTTGAATGAGCACACATTTCAACATGTTTTGTATACAGCAGCCCCTTTCGCCTGCTATAATTAGCACCTCAATGAGAAGATGTGAAGTACAAGGTGTTTGACTTTTTCGCTGTCCTCAATCTGTAACCCGTCATTTTTTTAATAGCAAAACAATGATATTTTATCAAATGGTATGTAATAAAATAACAGAGCATGCATGTGTTAGGGCAGTGGTTCCCAAAGTGTGGGGGGCGCATAGGTATGACAGGGGGGGCGCGAGAGACCAGGAGGAAAAATGGTTAATAAATTGTATTTTTTTTTTTTTAAATCCTAATTTGTAAAATTATTGATTCGAAAATAATATGATACAGTACTATTACGTCTGGGTCTCTGTGTTTCATTAAAGCTTTGCTCTGTGTGTGTGTGGAACGAGCCATTTTGTGTGCGTGCACGAGCGAGAGAGAG